GTTTCTCCCTCTCCCTTCCTCTCTGAAATCAGTAAAAGTATATATTTAAAAAAAAAACAAGCGTGAGATTGAAATGGTGTTTCTGCCCGCAGACGACGAGGACGGCATGGACAACGAGAGCCGGCCGCACTTCCCTCAGTTCTCCTACTCGGCGAGCGGCCGCGAGTAGGCCCCGTGCTGCTGCCTCGCTGTCGCCTGAGACTCACTGAGAACGGCTGCTGGACGTCGGACGGTCCCGGCTCCTCCTCACAGCAGGCGCCTCCAGACACCCCGACCGGCCCAGGCCTCACCCTCGCCACCTCCGCCCGCCTGAGAACACACATATACGCAAATACACTCGACCTTTTGTTTTTTTGCATGAAATTGTATCTCAGTCTAAGGTCTCATGCTGTTGCTGCTGCTGTCTTACTCTTATAGCAACTTTCAGAGGTAACCTTACCGCCCTGGGAAGTCATGAGGCCGCAGCCATCCATCCGCCCACCAGTTGTCATCTTCTTGTCTTTCAGTTGTGGTCTCCCCTGACAGCGGAGGGTAAATGAGATACACCGATGCTAGGTACATTTTTTTTTTTAACTCTCTAGAAGCTAAAGCAGAAACTAATTAGCCTAAGAAGATTTAGTGTATAATTCAGAACGAGCGATTGCGGAAGGGTGGCGGTGCGCATGTGCCGCTTTCAGGAAAGCCTGGTTTCAGAGCAGAGCCTAAAGTAGCCGTCGGCCGCTCAGATCAGTTAGGAAGCATTTGCAAGGACCGCACGACGGGTGAATTGTGGCCTCTCTCGGTACCTGCATCTAGATTCCTGTTGGATCCCGTAGAGGAAGCCGGGGGTCCCACGTGGACGTCCAGACCTCCCAAGCAGTCCCGGCAAACGAACACGGAAGGAAGGAAGCAGATGCACAGCCGAGTCAAGGTCATCCCAAGGTCGCCGCTAGGATCGGCACCCGAGAGCATTGCTTCCCTTGTGCTTGGAAACCGTTGTCCATGGTAACACTTCTCGCCGCTGATGGCTGAAGAATGTAGACAGGTGTCACGACCCTGCTTTTCACCAAAATGTGTGCGCCCAGGTAAACGGGCGTTTGCCGCGTGTGTTTCCGTTTTCCATTTCAGTTCTGCGTGAATTAGCTTTTCCTCGGACGTTAGAACTTTGAATGTCCTGTTGTGATTTTGTTGATATCGCAGTAGTATTTATTTTTTAGTGACGAGAATTGTATGTCGTGGTAGCAGATGCAGCTCCAACTGAACACAGAGTAGACGTACTGCAGTTTCTTTTGGCCTGTGTGCAAGGAACGTCCCCGCCGACAGGATTCATGCACTTTTCTCCTTTGTGAAGCGGTTTTGACGAGGCTCCGAGATGGGACTTGGTGGTTAGAATTTGGCGCTGGGAGAAGAGATGCTGTCCTCCAACCCCTTGGTGCTAAGAATGAGAACATCCCCAGCTCACCCTCGCCAAGGGGCGATGTTTGCTCATCTGAGAAGGGAGGTGTCAGGACGGCCAGGCCACCAAGGAAACGGCCCACACGGAGACCTGAGTGGCGATCAACGAACCTACTCGGCCGAATGAACACATCTCAAGTACTGGCGGAGGAGGCAGGTAGAGATGAGAGCCTAGTGTGTTTGCTCTGATCATGGTACATTGATCACTGAATTAAGCCATCAGGGAACACCACAAAACACAAAGGAACACCTCCAACCTCCCTTCTTCTGTACATACTCCTGTCCCCGCGCTCCACGGCTCCCACGGACAGGGGACGCGTATGCAAACCTCATCTTCCTCCTCCATTGACGACGATCTTCAGATTCAACCCTTTGGTGCTAGGAGCTGACATTTTCCAAAGCAGCCGATGAGACCCAGGGGCGGGGCCTCCCGGGGGGATCCTGGAGATGTCTTTCCGTTCCACTCCCTGATCGCTCCCACGGGGAAGACCACGGCGTGACGTAGGCTCGTGACCGCACCGGGGGGAGGGCAGGCGACTCGGGAGCAGGATGCCTCATACTCACACGCAGCTGTCTTAGCCGCGACGCCGGGAGAGCGGACTCGCGGACAGGAAACCACTGCTGGCGAGGGTGGGCCGCTGGGACTGCCGGGGGTTAAAGGGCATTTTCCTAAGGCAGCTAAGACCTATTTCACATCGATTTTATCCTGATTTTTCATATTCCTACCCGAGCGAGGTTCATCCTTAGTATTGAGTAGGAGGTTGCAGTCATTGGCAGTTCACTCTTCCTTACACATATCGCTCCACTTTTTTTTTTTTCCACTTGGAATTACGTTGAATGTTTCACCTTGACCAGAAAGTAGACTAGAAGGTATGTCTTGTAAGTTGTCTTGCATTCATTTGATAAAAAAACCAACCAACCAACCAACAGGTGAGAGGAAGGGGAGAGAGCTGGGACTGGCTGCTCACGGCCTGGGCTCCCTTAGTGGGAGGTAGGACTCCACACACTAAGCACATTGGTAGCTTTCTTTTTGTTGTTGTTTTTTTTTTTCTCCAAACGTGAAGGTGATTCCCATGACCTTGGCCAAGGACGCGCCCTAGAGACGCACGGCAGCGCGGACAGTGCCCAGGCCGGCCACTCCTCACCGCCGGCCCCGCCCCGCCGGTGCTCGGCCCCGTCACTGACCCCCAGGACTCCCCTTGGGTCCCACTGGGTGTTTCCTTGGCCTCGATCTTGAGAATCATCCCTCCTCGGGCTCCCAGATGTCGGCCAGCCGGCCCGGAGGCAGAGCGGAAAGGCAGGCGAGCGCAGAGGGGTCCCCAGGCTGCCCGGGTCCGCCCGGGGCTGTGGTTCGGATTCGGGCCGGCAGCCAGGCCTGAGCCCTGGAGTCCTTCTCCGCGCAGGTGGGACGGTGCGGGCTCCACCTTGGACTGACGCTCGTGACCTCTGCCCTCTCGGAGGACCTCGGCCGTGGAGGCGGGCAGGGTAGCTCACCGCTTTGCTTTCTACACGACCACACGCACCGTTCAGTATTGTTTCCCACCTCCCACCCCCGGTTTCTGGCTTCTTCAAGCTGACTGTTCTCACGGGGCCCACCTGCTTCTCCGGGGGACGGAGCAGGGGTCCCCCCTTCCTAACTGCAGGGTCTCCACACTTTGCTGCTACTGTTTGTACCGTCTCCGGTAGAACCTCCTCATCTTGCTCCTGGGAGTGCATTACAGGCGAGCATGACATGTAAAGTATTTATTTAAATAAAAAGAAAACCTCTCAATTGGTCATTGGATTACCTCCCTGTAGCTGTAGAGTTTGTGACATGTCTCGACCTTGCTAGTTCTCTCATTAGATCGGCGCGAGATCTAGGCACCCGGGTACGGGTGTTCAGCAGGCGCGACTCCGGACCCAAGGAACTGTTGTCACTAAGACTGTCGGTCACCCCCAAACTGTTTCTCCCCTCCCGTCCATGGCCCACACGGATGTGAACTGACGACGAGGAACTGTTTTTGTACACTGTACATCCTTAGTATTTTTACACGTATCGGCTAGGGGTGCCCGTCTCCCTCCGTACAGACAGCTGAAATAAAGCACTGTGTCAACTGCTACTTCTCCGTTTATTGTTGTTGGATGTGGTTCTGTGATCTCGGAAAAACTAAAGACTGGCCTTTTCTGGGGGGAAAAAAAAGGTTTTTAAAAGCTCCACCTGGTATTCACCTGCCTGGTGTAAAATGTGGCAGGAAAATAGGTACATTTCTTGTAGCTCCAAACACACTTGGGTTTCCTTCTAATAAAATGGCAGGAAGCAGCTGGGCTGACGTGGACGAGGGCTGTGTCCCCAGGGGAGGCGAGCTCCCAGCACGGGGTCCGGGCCCCCCGTCTTCCCAGCAGGTGGTTTGGACCAGATGCTAAGGCGCGTGGCTCCTCGGTCATGTCTTCCTGGCCACGTGTGGCTCTGCTTCCCTCCTTCCCGAGAACCTGTTTTTAGAACCGAGGGCGCATGAAACGTGGACGTGGGGACCGAGGGGCCGGCGGCCGCACCGCGGTCTGGTCGATGGGGCCTTTTTCTGACTTTACCTCATAACCCTCCTCTTGGAGGGCCCGGCGCTCTCCCGTGACTCGGCCAGATAGAGGGATGGCTTTGGGAACAAGGTTAGGCAAGCACGGACGTGGCCGCCACACGCCCAGTCCAGGGCATCCGCGTGGATGCTCCTCTCCCCACACCACGGGGCTGACTGTCCAGGAGGCGGGGATACAGTGACCTCTGTGATTACTTAAGGTGCTATTTTCAGACTATTGTGTAACTTACTTACCGTGCTCCTAAACCAGAACTAGGGACAATGAGCCTATCGTACGCACCGGCCTTGATCTGGAGCGCCTTGGGTGACACCGCAACCTTCTGACGCTGAGCAGAAGCTCCGCTCTTTCGGGCTTGAACCCTTTCCTGCCGGAGAGGCTCCGGGGTCTTCGCATGGGCAGCCCCCCACCACCTCAGAGGCCGGGTCGGTGATGATGGCGGCAGGTCGCTGGCCCAGAGGTCAGCCCGAGGTCGGGGACTTGCCCCGAGGCAGCTGCCTGCCGGGTCCCCTTGCCCTCGTCCAGAACAACACAGCATGCAGTGCCCGCTTGACCATAAAACACCGGGGGCTTAGCTGTGTGCAGTTGAGACACTAGTGGAGACTAAACTGATTGATGATCTGTGTACAGAGACTGACGAGGACGCTGAGGAAGCTTGGGTGCCCCCAGGCTCCTCACAAACGGTGCATCTGGGAGAAGACCCTGAGCCCACCGGCCCGAGAGGCCTGTCTGTCTGGTTCGTTGCTAACGGCGTGGAGAGGAGGATGCGGAGGGCTTCCTGGCGGGGCCCAGGTCAGCAGGATGAGGTCAGCGGGGCCCCGTGGATGTAGGCGGGGGGCAGAGTGAAGGGTGCTCCGTGCATCGCGAAGAGGGAGGGCTGCATGGGTGGCAGGGAGAGCGTGTGGCCCTCGGCACCCTCTGGCCTGGTTAAAATATGTGCCTTTTTTGGTGTGTCTTGTTCATCACTCCACGGTAGGAAGTCAGCATCACAACCCACGTCTCTCCGAAGTCCGTTTATTGAAATTCATGTGTGTAACATACATAGCAGACAAACGAGCAGATTTCAAAGTACAGTAACTCGAAGCCATTTCCCAAAACCCACACCAGGAGGGCGCGTCCGGCAGCGGCAGCTCGGGCCCGTCCATCGGCCGGGGCCGCCCGGAGACGCACGTGGCGGTGAGGACGCAGCCTGCGGCCGGAGCAGGGCCGCCGGGAGGCCACAGTGCGTTGTGGCACGTTACGTGCAAATCAGATGAATGTAAATATTCTTTGTAAATCATTTATTTCACTGTTTCATCCAGGTCAGCAATCGGATTGTGGCATGCTGGGTAACTGGAAAAAAAAAAAAAGAAAATAAAGAGTAAGTTTAAATAGATCCTGTTCTTCAATGTGATTTGTCTTGTCACTGGTTGACTGTCCTGAGAATTTGGAGAAAATGATTTCTTTGCTAACGATGTAGAAAGTGTACTCATGTAGCCAACTGGATGAAGAGTTTACAAGGTCGGAGCCCTTGTCGAATAAGAATATCA